GTAGAATATATATATATTTTATTTAAATTATATATAGTTTATATATTTAATATAAAATTTTTTCACACAACATATTTTTTTAAATGTAAACCTGATATGAATGTCAGGTTTTGTTATGTGACTTATATGCTCCCTTACATGCAAACTCAATTCAAATCCTATCAAATGAGCTAATAACAAACTTATGAAGAAAGAAATTTGAGTTTTAATATCATATAAAAATTATACATATGTGAGTTTCAACACCAAACTTACAAATAATTGAGTTTTTATTTCATTTTTTTGTCTAGAGTGTCTCCAACCAGTTTTGTGCACCTTAAGGATAATTTCTTTTTAAGCGATCTTAAGGGTGCATCTCCCATGTCGATTGATGCATTTAAGGAAATTAATTTTCGTAAATACTAGCTTCAAGACTTGAATATATAATCTAACCTACAAATTAATAGTTATTTATTTTTTTTAAGTCAATTAATAGTTGTTTATCAATAAATCCAACTATTAAAATTAGTTTACAAAGAAATTTAATTTTTTTAATTTCTTTAACTTACTATTATTACTTTAGTTTACAAAGAAATTTAGTTTACAAAAAAAAAAAAAACCTTATTATTACTTTAAACACTATGATTTTTTAAATTTTTTTAATAAAATTTTATTAAAATTGTGTCATTTTTAATTTTTTTACTTAATTTTTTACTAGTATTACTAATAAACATTTTTTTCTTTAGGAATATATTATAAGAGTTCGTATGTTAGAAAATTCCAACGATGAAAGTTCATTCATTGACCCTTAAGCAAGTTAGAAGCACCAATAACTATCATTTGTCCTGCTTTAGAAAAAAAAAAAAAAAATCAATTTTACCGGTCAGGAACCGGAACATGCACACCTTCAGCAGTGCGACTTGATCTCGTCCAACCAATTCCATCCCGTCTTATCTTTAATTTCTCTATATATATTCCCTATTCCTTCATTCTCCATTAGTACCCTTTCATATATTTCTCTTCTTTCGTTTATATATATCTTCTGCAGCAAGAAAAGAATGCTGGGTCATATTGTGGACAAAGTCAAGGCAACTGCCGCCGGAAAGGATGGCGGGGGAAAGAAGGTCATGGGTACTGTTGTTTTGATGAAGAAGAATGTTCTGGACTTCAACGACTTCAATGCATCAACTATCGACAGGCTTGATGAGTTGATCGGGCGGAAAGTCTCCCTGCAGCTCATCAGTGCTGAGAATGGTGACCCTGGTGAGTTCTCTACGTGTTTGATCTTTTGTCTCAACCAAAAATTTATCTTCACTAGAAACAAAGATCAAAAACATGGGTCTTCTGTTTGTGTTCTTGGGTCTTCTGCAAAACTGATGTCTTGTTTAATCTATTAAAAGAACTGGTTTTTTTCTTTTTGAGTACATAGAGATGGGGTCTTTGACTCCAGTTTTCAAAGTGTATATATGGTCTTTAGTTTATCTCATCCATAAATCTTCACTTGGAAGAAAGACAGAAAATTAACATGGTTCTCTTCTTGCCTTCTTGCCTTCTTGGGTATCAAATCAAAGAAAAGGGTAAAGTTGGAATCTTCCTTCTACTTCTTCCATTTTTTTTATTTCGTTTTTAATGATTGAACTATTAATCCTTATAATATATGTTTAGAATTGAGTTTTCCAACAAATGAGAAAAGAAAAAGGAATTTTGATTGTGCCGGTTTAATTTATATTTTAAGAGTATATATTAAACATATAATAAATATATATATTTTTATGGATATAATGAATATATTTTTAAAAAATTAATTTATATAAAAT